AGCGATAACCATTCATTTGAGTCCACCTCACAATATCATCTCATTTTCTGAACAGTTCGTCAGTGGTGGAATATATATTAGAAGTTTCACCAGTGACTGGCTAGCCTGCAAAGAAAGTACCAAAAACACTTCATGACATTAACTCATGGCCAAATATGTTGCTGTCTACTATTAATTTTTTTCATTTAGATCTCACATCATCTGCCTCAATATGTTTGATTAGCTAATGGAATTAAATAATGTGATTCTTTACAGTTCACTTTCTAGAATTATTCTGTCAAAATATTGTACTCTATAGATTTGCTAATATTGTACATAAAATGATAACTCTGCATCCGGTTTCTCAAAGTAGAATAATATTATCGCAGAGAATGAAGCCATTCCTCTTTCCACTGCTTGGTGGCTTTGCTTTTATGCTCCTCCTAGTTCATGCCCAGGATGATCAAACAGGTATGTCTATCTCCAATTGCCCCAAAAAAAAAACAAAAAACAAAAAAAAGAAGAAAAAAAAGGTTGCTTTGGTAACAGTGTATAGTGTAAGCCATACATTTTAGTAAGAACAAGACATCTAATATGTGTGTCTCTCTTTCAGGCTTTATTAGCATAGACTGTGGCCTTGCAGAAAATACCAGCTATACAGAAAAGATGACAGGAATTAACTACATTTCAGACGAAACCTTCATAAGCACCGGTGAAAATAACGTCGTATTGCAAGAGTACAGAAATAAGTATCAAGAGCCCTACATGTCTCTTAGGAGTTTCCCTGGAGGGATCAGGAACTGCTACAAAATCAATGTCACAAATGGCACCAAATATTTGATCAGATCAAGTTTCAAATATGGGAACTATGATAGGCAGAATATATTGCCAGAATTCGACTTGCAACTTGGAACTAATGTTTGGGATTTGGTGAAGTTGGAGGATGCATCAACCATTACAAACAAGGAGCTCATACATGTCCCAATTTTGTCTTAATTATTCAATTACGGAACATATATGTAATCATGCAGGAACTTGTCCTCCAGCGGATTAACAGGGGAGATAGCTCCTTATATATCCAATCTCACCATGATCCACATTTTGTAAGTATGCCTTAACTAATACATATTTATAAAATATGCCCATAATTGGTCACAATCAGTAGTTAAATGAGTAAAGCTGCTTATCATTTCAGAGATTTATCAAACAACAATTTAACTGGATCAATCCCAGACTTTTTGTCTCGACTGCGTAAGTTAATGGTCCTGTAAGTTATTGACTTGCTTATGGGTCTAAACCGCCAACTCCTTAGAAATTATGGTAATAGATATATTGCATGCTTTGCAGCAACTTGGAGAAAAACAAACTCACTGGTTCAGTTCCCGTAGGACTCATTCAGAAGAGGAAGGATGGTTTGCTATCCCTACGGTACGATTTTTATTTTTAAAAGAAAGGAGGAAGAAAATTAACAATAAAAATAAACAGGAGAAGTTCTATTTTGCAGTCCATCAAAATCAACAATTTTCTTTTCAGTTTGTGTGAAAATCCAAATCTATCCAGACAAGTTTCGTGCAAAAAGAAGAAGCAGAGTATCAATATACTCTTGGCAGTGTCAATCCCTGGAATTTTCATCCTCTTATCAACTGTATCAGCTGTTTTATGGGTGGGCTTTAAAAGGAAAAAGCAACATGCCCATTTTGGTGTAGAGGTGATGCAGAATTCCAACCAAAACAGTTTATTGGAGTCAGATGGCTAACGCTTTACATACCCAGAGATTGTGGAGATTACCAGTAATTTTAAATCAATAATTGGAAGAGGCGGATTCGGAGAAGTCTACTTTGGCACTCTGCAAAATCAGACTCAAGTTGCTGTCAAGTTACTGATTTCATCGTCAACACAGGGCTCAAAAGAATTTGAAAATGAGGTACCTATATGAAGAAGGATATATATACTTACATGTTTGTTTTGTATTGATTACAAAGAGTGCTAAACAAGATCAACATCAGTTGCTGCTAAAAATGATTGATAGCCATAACAAATGCAGGTTAAACTGTTGATGAGAGCTCATCATAGAAACTTGGTTGCTCTGGTTGGGTACTGTGATGAAGGGGAGACTATGGCATTAGTTTATAATTTCGTTGCTAATGGAAATTTGCAACAGCGTTTATCAGCTGGTAAATCTATCGATACCCATTCATATGAACAAAATTTAAAGAATTCTATGGTCACTGAAAACTTTTGGGTGCAGATGTAACTTTACACGTTTTGACCTGGAAGGAGAGACTTCAAATTGCAGTTGATGCAGCACGAGGTAAGCACTAAAACAAAAATAAAAATGAAATGAAAAATTATATATATAATCTAGTTTCTTCTCTTCCAGTTTTCAAAATTTAATTCTGCTCTCGTGTTCATCTTGGAAACATTTAATGAAATAGTTATGAGTAATGTATTATGTATGTACATACATATAGGTATGTGTGTTTTTGTGTTGAAACCATAGAACAAAATATCGATAATTTTGCCTTTCGGCGAAATTATCTTTTTTTTGGGGCAGCAATATTTTAGCACATTTCCATATATATATATATATCGTCAATTTATCGATAATTTCGCCGATATTTCAGTAACGATATTTTCGTTCAAGTTGCAGCTTTAAATGGACAATATATCGCGATATTATCGATAATATCGCGATATAAACTTACAAAATTAAACTCAGCCTTCAGATGAATCCCTCGGCCTCTGAAACTCAGCATTTCTCTGTCTCTCAACTCAGTCTTAACTCAACTCAGAAAAAAAAGAAAAAAGAAAAAAGAAAGAAAGAAAGAGAGAGGAGAGTGAGAGAGAAGGGAAGTAGAGGAAAAAAAAATTATGGAGTGGGTTTTTATGTTTTGCTATTTTGGATTGTGATGAAGCGATAGAGAATA